ACATACCCAGGCCGCGTCTGCCTCAGAGCAAACGTGGGGATCACATTCCATGGGGTGGGTTATGAGTACATACTTCCAAAGAGAAATCCAAATACAGAAAAATAGCCCCAGTTAACACCTGGACACTTAAGTACACTTATTCCCCTTCTTTGTATGTACCCAGGAGTGTATACAATTGCATAGTTGAAGTTTTCCCAGAAAAAGAAAAGTAAAAGGAAAATTGGCCTAGGTTAGGTCCTCTGGTTTAAAGCTCTTAAAAATGGTGCTGGCCAGAGCGTAGGCTGTCCAGACTTGTGCTTTGTGCAAAATGCAAAGGAGCTCCTCCACACTGTGTCCACAGGCCCCCTCCCACCCCCTGGGGAAAAGGGTAGGGTCAGGGAAAGGAGGAACTCCAAAGACAGATCATCTCATTGGGAGTAATCTGTGATCTGTGGTTACAGTTCACTAAAATAGATTTCTCTAACTTTTTATAAATTGCTCCAGCCTATACCCCATGTTTCAACTTCAGTCCAATTATAAAAAATATCTCTTCTTACAAAGTATTTTATTTTAATAAACTAACCACAGATTAAGGTCAGCTATGGCTTAACAAAAGAAGCCGGGATGTTAAGTTCATTCTCCAAAAACAGAGAGGAAGGAGAAAGAATCACTTAAATAGGAAACAATTTGTTTTTAAAAATGTTTTTGCTTGCTGGGGTCTTTTGTTTCTTTTCCTTAAAAAAAAGAAAAATAAGTTGCTTTCTACAGAAATGCAGCAGCAGAGGATGGTAGTGCTCTATTTAGGTTTTTGGTTTTGTTTGAAACAGTCTGGCCAAAGGTCTATCCTTCTCCCACCCCTCCCAAGGCACACTCAAACCCCAATATATAGTTATTGCTAAGTAGTTAAAAAAAGATCACCTCTGTACCAGTTCACCTGGAGAAAATTCAACACACACAGCTGCTCTTCTCATCACTCTCTTCCCTTCCCCAGAGGGAACTTTTAAAAAAAATAAAATTAAAGTCTTTTTTAAAAAGATCACAACCTTAATTTAGCTGAGTTCAGCCCTCAAAAAGGATGAGGAAAAGATAGGGGGCAATCAACAATCTCCTCAAACTAGAACAGATGACAGATGGTGTTTAGAAGGAAATAAAACTTAAGAGGAAAAGGCTTCCCCTTTTAAGTTCGTTCCTTCTCCATCTCAACAAACCCACTTAAACTACCTCCCTCCTAATAGGCATCTATGAGCATAACATTACTGCCCTGTCTTTCCAGATTCTTCAGGAGGAAGAATTTAT